TCCTTGGGGGACATGTTCCAGTCCCCTGCTATAGCAAAGGGGGTGGATATAGTCTTCATGACTGCTGCCACCTGCATCAGTAGCTGGGCATTGCGATCCTCGGCGCCTTCCCCCGTATGCAAATAGACATTGGCCCAAGGGATACCTGAATCCACGACCCCATGCCATAGCTTCAGGGTAAATCTCTCTGGAGGGGGCATGGCAACAGTAGGATCCAACACGACTTCAGAGAAAGACCTGGCATGCTGCGAGACAAGGCCCACTCCTGAACTCAAGCCGCCTTTCTGAGTACTAACTGAGGGGTGGAGGTGCGCATGGAACCCATGCTTGTGAGCACGGTTGACTGCGAACTCGATGGCCTCTTCCGTACGACAGAGTTCTTGAAAACCAACAGCATCAAACCGATCCGAATAAGCCTCCAGGAAAATATCGGCATTGGACCAGGAGGTAACATTCACAGTAACGATGACCCAGTCCCGACGCGGCTTCTGTCCGAAGGCTGACTTGTCGGGCGGGGTCTCCGATGTGTTAAAGGTCAGACGGGCCCTTGGGATTGGAGCCCCCCACCACTGCTGGGGTGTCGGCGGGGCCAGAGGCGGCGGCAGCCGACGGCGAAATCCTTCCTGACTGTCCCGACTGATCAACTGCAGCATCAGGGGCGTGAGCAGGACTTTTCGGCGCAGGCGGCAGTGAGGAAGAGGAACGAGGGGGAGCCCTGGCAACACGTGTTGGGGAACCTTGCTGGTCGACAGACATCCTGGGCTCCTCAGACTGGGACCGAGGTTCACTGGCAACACCAACAGGAGCATAGCCAGACATAACGATACCCTGGAGGTCCCGCAACGCCTGAGCAAGCTTCTTGTCTCTCTGCACTGCCTGGGAAGCTGCGAACACGTCCGCCGCGGCTGATAGATCTGGGGGCGCGAAGCCCTCAGGGGCTGGCTCGCTCGACGGGGGATCCTGCAACTTAGACTGCCGCATAGCCATATCCTGGGCGACTCGCTCCTGACGAGAGCAGAGGGCGTCCCTCTCGCTCTGGAGGTCCAGGATCTTACGATCGAACTCACGGATCTGGCTAGAGATCTTGTCAAACTTCTTACTGGCCCAGTGCTGACGCTGCTTATAGAACGCACGCTTCTGGGGAACGGTAAGCAAGTCGGACTTTTGTGCACGGAGATGCTGCACCTCATCCTGGAGACCCGAGACCTGATCACGAACATACCTGGTCGGCGGAAGCAGGCGAAGGGAATACAGCTGGCCCAAAAGGGCCTTGATAATCTGATCAATCTGCGTAACCGAGAGCTCATTGCCGTTGGTGTCGACACAGCCGCCATCAACGTCGTCGTCGACGTAGTCAACCAAAAAACCACGATCGCTGCCAAGACCGTCGTCGCCAGAGTCGCACCCGAATCTATCCTGCACTTCCTCATCCAATGGAGCCTGAAGACGTTCACCCAAATACCGAACTGGGGGAGTGGCAGTACCGTCAACATCATGACGATCATGGAAACGAGCACGGGGAGGAGACAAGACACGCTCACTGCCACTGCCTTTGCTCCTGCCTTTGCCGTCTTTGTCGCCTTTGCGACCGTGTTTTCCTGGGACCTGTCCTTTGGAGCGGCCAGGAAAGGGGGTACTGCAGAACTTACACTTCTGGCGGGGGCTGGTGTCGGGGATCCACGAAGTCTTGCTAGCATCGCGACAGACGAGACAGACGAGATATCCCATGGCGCGCCCGTGCGGCACGGTGGGCAGCACACACGCCAGAACCGTCCGAGCCTGCCGCACGGCTGCGGACAAGCTCGAAGCCTCGCGGCAAGGTTTCGAACTTGAGCCAAAATGGCTTGAGCCAAAATGGCTTGAGCCAAAATGGCTTGAGCCAAAATGGCTACGGACTCTGTATTGGAGCGGTTTTGGAAGCCTCTTGGGCCGTCTTGGAGCATCGGGATGCCAAAAGGCCGAAAAAATTGAAACCCGTCAAAGCCCTATCGTAAAACAATGAGTTGTGCCTCTTGGGGCCACCTTGGGAGATCTCTTGGAACCTCGTCGGCCCTCTTGGGAGCTTCTTGGGGGCCTCTTGGATCCGATTGGGGGCCTCTTGGGACTTCCCGAGAAGCTCTCGGGGTAGAAAGCTCGGATTCTCGGTTCGTGCTTCCTTTCTTGAGCCTCTCTTGGGGCCGTCTTGGGGCCCTCTCGGGCCGTCTTGGGCGCCTCAGGCACCGCCTTGGGGCCCTCGTGGGCCGCCCAGGGCCCTCTTGGAAGCCTCTTCGGCTATCTTGGAGCTGTCTTGGAGGCCTCTTCCTCCTCCTCGTCCCCCTCCTCCTCCTCCCACTCCAGCTCTCTCTCCTCCTGATCTTCCTCCTCCTCCTGCAGCGTGTTCCGGAAGGCTCCCGCCGGAACATGCTGTGCACAAGTGCTGTCACTGCTCCCGCCACCGTGCCCTGGGTGGTGGGTCAGAGGCCTCATGGGTGTTGGTTTGGATCTCGTGGTTGGCCTGTCGGGGACGTCGTGAAGGCAGTTTCGCAGCTTCTCGGTAGCCGTTTTGGGACCGTTGTGGGGCCTCCTCGGGGCTGTTTTGTGGCCTCTTTAGGCCTCGTTTGGGCCTCCTGGGTGCCTCTTGGGGGCCTCCGGGGGCCTCTTGGGGGCTCCTTGGGGCCTCCTGGGGCACTCTTCAAGCGGGAGGGTCGAATTTTGGAGTCGTGGTCCCCCTCTTGGGCGCATCTTGGGGCCGTCTTGGGGCTCTGTTGGGCTGTCTTGGGCGACTCTGGGGCTGTCTTGGGGCCCTCTTGGGCCGTCTTGGGGCGCTCTTGGGGGCCTATTGAGCCGTCTTGGAACGTCGGACAGCCGAAAAGTCTGGAAGGCCAAAATCGTTCGAAAACCTTTGTAAAATTGACGATTTCGGCCTCTTGAAGCGCTCTGGAGAGGCGTCTTGAAGCGTCGTGGAGTGCCTTGGGGGGCCTCTCGGGCCGCCTTGGGCCTATCTTGGGCGTCCTGGAGCGGTCTTTCGGCGACTCGGGGCCCGCTTGGGCAGTCTTGGGAGCCTCTGGAGGCCCTCCTGGACTATTTTGGACCTGCCCGGCCGCCCCGTCCTCCCACGGGAGGTCGGAGGCGGCGGCTTCCGAGGCCCAGGACGCGGAAACCCTGTAAAAACATAGAGAAAATGAGCCCCGGTACTCCCATGGAGGGTCGGGCAGCTGTTTTCGGGTCCCTGGGCTAGAACCATCGCGCGCGCTTCGCGCGCGCTCAAGTTCTAGCCCAGGCCGGGGGGGCGCTGGACGATCTTGGACAACGCTATCAAGCACAGGCGCGCGACGGCATCTGAAGAGCTTCTGGGATGTTCCGCATGCTTCGTCAACTGGCTGTTGGGGGCACCTCTTGGGTGCTTCTTGGGGGGGCGTCTGAGGGTCCCTTGGGGGCATCGGTTCTGCAATCTGAAGCCGTCATTGGCCGTCTTGGCTGCGTGGAGGCCCGACTTGAGGCCACCTGCGGCCAGATTGAGGCAATCCGGAAGCCTCCTGGGGGCCTCCTGGAAGCAGTTTTGACGCATCGAGGGCACTCTTGGGCTATTTTGAAACCTCTTGGACGTCTCCTAGGGGCCTTTTGGGCAGACATCCGGCTGCTCAAATTTTTTCGATGCGTTGGCCCCAGAGGTCTGGACCACTTCCCCTAGGACGGTTTTTCGTCCAGAGTCGCTTTTTGACGGTCCCGGGGCCAGCGAGGGCCCCCAGAGGCCAAGAGATGCCAAAAACCCGCCGCTCCAAACTTTTGTCGGAGCGTCGGATCTCTGGGTTGGGGCCACCTTGGGCCGTCATGGGGCCCTCTTCGGGCCATTTTGTGGCCCTGCTGGGCCGTCTTGGGGCGGGCTCTCCTGGACTGCCTGGAAGCCCTCTCGGATAATTATGCGGCGATTTTTTCGGGCCTCCTGGGCGGTCTCGGACGCCCGGAAGAGCGAAGAACATCCCCAAATCATGCAACAAAAACTGTAAATCCATTTTTGGGGGCGTTTCGGAATCCTCTCGGGAGTCTTCTTCGGGTCGTCTGCGGGCGTCTGCTGGGTGTCTGGGGCCTCTTGGGGCCCTCGGGGAGTCGTTCGGCCGCTCTCCTGACCGATTTGTTCGGCGATGGACAAACCCCCCTTTCGTAAACCTCCCCTTTGGGAAAACGGCCTGGGACCGAAACCGACGGAAGTGGACCCGCAAAAACGACGGCCGCGACGCCCTCTCGTGAGCCGAAAACGGCCAATTCCTTTAATCGACGCGTCGGGGCAGGAGGTCCGTCCATCCCCCGAGATCCGTGCCCGCCGCCCGGGCCCAGCGGGGGCCCTTCCCAGGAGCTCCAGGAAGCCTGGGGGGGCCTCCTGCAAGGGCGCTCCAAGGGGGGGCCCGGCTGAGCATCTTTCTTAGGGTGGAGGGCTCAGGGTGAAATCCATATGCGATGTTGCACCCCGAAGATCGATCCGCCTCGTGATTCACCTTCTGCAGGTTCGAGCCTCCCTTTGCCCTCCACCCAAAGAAGATGCTCGACCCAGGGCCCCGGGTTCGGGGGCCCAGCCCTGGAGTGGGGGTGGGGCGGGGGGGCCCCCCCCCCCGCCCACCCCGGGGGCGTGTCGAGATGTAGGGAGAGAAATCCGTAGATACGCACATACACACAAATATACACATGTGTGCATGTTGTCTCCACAGTGCGGGCGCGGCCGCAAGAAGCCCTCGCAGGAAGCCCAACCCTGAGAACCCGTGCGCAGTGTGCACCAGAGGGGAAACCCGGAGCACTCTGAACGCAGCAGCTACTTCAACGGCCGCGGGAAGTCGCCGCGCCGCGCGCGGAGCGAAGAAACCCAGGATACCCTGACGAAAAGCATATGGTTTCTTGATGCGCGCCCCCACTGTACGCACATACACATAATTATACACATGTATGTATGTTGTCTCTGCTTTGCCAATCTACACCAGAAGGACAGTTTTCACAGCACAGCACATGGTCATGCGTGTCTGCGTGCACTCGTGTGCACACTGCTGCAGTCCCGGCGCCGAGCCGTCCGATCACAGAGCGTACCTTCTTCATCTCCAGCGCCGTTCGTCCGCCGCCTGCGCCGTGCTCGACATCTCTGGCTTCCACCGCCAACTCGCATGACAAAGCCGTCCTTCGACTGGGGGATCGACTACAGAATTGGTTTACCCCAAAATTGATTTCCACGTCGACTCTTCAACAACAGCACGTCGACCACTCGTAACTCCGCGAACGTGCTGCGCATTGCCCGTGGATTCGACAACAGCAGTCAGTTATGTGACGTGGCAGACCAGTGATGCAGTCGATCCCCTGCCCGAGTCCTGGATACCGCGCCTCCAGGGACCCAGACATCCGACGTCTCGATTTTTTCGAGACGCGGGCCCCCGGCCTCCCGACCACTTCCCTGGGACCGGTTTTTCATCCCAAGTAGTTTTTTGACGGTCCTGGGGCCCGGCGAGGGCCCCGAGAGGCCAAAAACTATGAAAAACCTCTGTCTCGATTTTTTCGAGACGCCCGATGTCTGGGGAGCGAGCGGCTGCGCGGCGGGCGCCTGCTCGGCGCCCGCCGCGGCAGCGCTCGAGCGCGCGGGCGGCAGCTCCCGTCGTCGTGGTGTCCAGCGAGCCCGTCCGAGGCGGGACTTGAGACGTGACCGCCGCCTGGGAGGGGCAGTTCTCGGAGCCTCGGCAGGCGGTGGACATGGACATCTTCGGGCCCCCGGGGGCCGAAATACAGGAGGAGGAAAGGAGGAGGAGACGGATGAGGAGGAGGAGGAGGAGGAGGAGGAGGAGGAGGCGGAGGAGGAGGAGGATGATAACGAGGAGGAGGAGGAGGAGGAGGAGGAGGAGGAGGAGGAGGAGGACGTGGGTTCCCAGGCGGTGGATATGGATAAGTCCCCGCCTCGCGAGCAGGGCTCTCGCAAGTCACGCGCCCGCGCCCTGCTCCAACAGGCCCCGCGGCACGTGCAACCTGCCGTGCCCGGTGGCGGCCAGCGCGGCCAGAGCCGCGACCGCCCCGGAGGCGCGCACCCGCTCCCGGTGCTCCGGCCAGTCCGCGATCTGGCAGATGGCAGCAGCCGCCCGCCACGCGCACTCCTCGGGAGCGGCCAACCCAGACAGGATGGCGTCGTAAACAAAATCAGGACGGGCTGGTTTTGGCCATTTTCGGCCCTGGTGGGCCCTCGCCGGGCCTCGGGACCGTCAAAAAACGATTCGGGATGAAAAACTGGCCCCGGGGAAGGGGTTGGGACTTCCAGGGACGCCGTCCTGAAACAATCAGGACACCGCATGTCTGGGAAGAAGGGGGTGTTCAAGAGGGGGGGTGCCAATCATGACCGGCGGCACGTGCGCGGCCCAGCTGGGGGGGCCAGGGACGTAAGGGAGTAGGAAGAGGCGCCATATGAGCTCTGGGGAAATATCATGGCCCACGCCATGATATCCACCCCCTCCTGGTCATCACCCCCCTCTTTGCCGCCCCCGAACTCCGAGCCGGCGGCGTCGCTCGAGACGACGCGCGCCAGTGCCTCCACCGCTCCGGCGCGCACCAGCTCGTCGGCGGCCGAGCGCTCGTGGGACAGGTTGCGCAGCGTCTGCGCCGCGGCAGCCACGGCCTTCGTGGCGCCCGCCGGGCCGCCCGGGCACAGGAGGGCCACCAGCCTGGCCGCGGCGCCCGCGGCCAGCGCGGCCTCGCGGTGCGCGCGCTCGCCGCAGCAGAAGTCGCGCAGCCGGGCCAGCGCGCGCAGCTGCGCCCCGGTGGCCTCGGCGCGCGGGGCGGGGAGGCCCTCCACCAGCTCCCCGATGAGCTCGGCGGGCTGGGGCACCTTCCTCGCGGCCAGGGGCTGTGCGGGGGCCCTGCTGCGCGGCCCGAGGCGCGGCGGCGGGAGCAGGGCCGCCGGCACGCCGGCGGCGCGCGCGCCCGCCTCCAGCAGCAGCGCCGCCGCCGCCGCGTGGCCGGCCGCGGCCGCCCGCTGCAGCGCCGTGGAGCCCGAGGCGTCGCGGGCCTCCAGCCCACCCCCCTTCGCGCTCTGCCCCCTGGTAGGGCGCAGAAGCTCCACCCTTCGGGGGCCACATGCGAACCCTACCCCTAACCCCCGCGATTTCTGAGGGGGAGGGCGGGGTTCACGTCGCTCGGGAGCTCCCGCTCGGGAACCCTCCCCCTCAGAAATCGTGGGGGGTAGGGGTAGGGTTCGCATGTGGCCCCCTAACCCTCACCACCAGCACCCCGACGGGCGAAGCCGCTTCGCAGGCGCACCCCAGGCCTGCATCGAGCAGGGCAGGGCTGCCCCGTCAACGCCCGGGGCCGTTTCGTAAACGCCAGCTGTCGGGGTCGGGGTGGTTCTTCCTCCCTTGACCTGGCGCGCGCCAGGGCCGCGCGCGTGCACTCGGCGCTCCCGGAGCAGGCCGCCAGGTGCAGCACGGTCTGCTGCGCGCCATCGCGCGCCCAGGTGGCCGGGCCCCCGGGGCCGGTGGCGGCCAGAAGCGCGCCGAGCGAGGCGGCGTCGCCCCGCCGCGCGGCCACATGCGCGGGGCTCGCGCGGTCCTCCGGCGCCATCGCGCGGGCGCTCGCGCCAGCCTCCAGCAGGATCTGGATGCACCCGGCCGCGCCCGAGGCCGCGGCGGCGTGCAGCGGCGTCCACCCGCGGGGCGGCGCTCCCTGAGCTGGGCCGTTGGCCGCGGCGCCTGCCGCCAGCAGCCGCCGCACCGTGGCGGCGTCGCCAGCGCCCGCCGCCTCTACCAGCTGTTGCGGACTCTGGTCGTCGGCGGCGGCGGGGTCGCCGCGGCCATCGCAGTCACGCATCGTCCCGCCGAGCGCCGCGCCCCCAGCTCGAGGGCGGGCGCCAGCGCGCGATGCGAGCGATCAACGCGGGGCGCACATGTGGGGCGCACCCCGCCGGCTGGTCGCTGGCTCTCGCGGCGTGAGATATCCAGTGCCGAATCTCTCGCGCGAGCCAAGCATGCCACGAACACGTGTGGACGTCCGCCCGCCGCGCCGTGAGCACTGAGCGGAATACCCTCGGGTCCCCTGGGACAGTCTGCATTGTGAGTGCTCTTTGATGTCCGATTGCTGGGCGGTCCTGGGAGCACTTGGCCCCCACCGACCCCACTAGCTGGAAGCCGCACCTCCTCCTGTCCAACCCAGAACTCGGAAACAATGCCACCGACCCCACTAGCTGGAAGCCGCACTTCCTCCTGTCCAACCCAGAACTCGGAAACAATGCCGCGTCTTCCAGTTCATGACGCCGGCATCGGCACCGGGGCCCAGGCGCTGGGTCTGGTGGATGTGACCAAGATTGGGGGCTGGGATCATGCCTGGGCTGAGGACGGTAACTTCGTCTTGGGCTCGAAGCTGGGGCTGGGGCTTGGCCTGGGAGCGGCGGGAGCGACCGAGGGCCCAAACTTCGACCGCGGGGCTGGGACTGATGACCGGGTCTGGGACTGAGGACTCGAACTGGCAACTCGGGCAAGGGCGGGGACCAGGACCGATCTGGAGGTTGCCGGGCTGTGTGAGCTGAAGAAGCCCACAGAGAGAATAGGTGCGGCTGCCCCACATCTGTGCAGCTGCCACATTTCCCGAAAGTTCGGTCCGCACACTCATATCTCAAGTTTGAAAGGAGCTGTTCCCCATCCTTGCACCTGTTGCAGGCGTCTAAAACGAATGTGCACAACGCCAGAGCGAGAGCCACATTTTGAACGGGAGTCGCTTTCCATCCTCCTGGGCGTTGCAAGATTTCAATGCGCATGTGCGCGGCGCTGGGGCGAGAGACCCACTTTGATGATGATCGGCGCTCCACCCTTGCAGCTAGCTCGAGAGCCCCATTTTGAAAGCCACCCCCCTCCGCCCTGGTAGCCGCTCCATAGTTTGAAGACGAATGTGCGCAACCCTGATGCTTGAGCAGGGACCGACCGTCCCGGCATTCCTATAGTCATACCACGAAATTTTCTTAGAACCACCAAATGTTCTGAGAACAAAACAATGTTCTTAGAACATAAGCCCGATGTGTTAAAAAACAAGACAGCCCCAACCAGAAATGTTCTAAGAACATTTCGTGGCAACCACAGAAGGTTCTTAGAACATTTCTGGATGAGACAGGACGCTTAGCCACTGCTTGAGAGGAGGAGGAGGAGGAGGAGGAGGAGGAGGAGGAGGAGGAGGAGGAGGAGGGGAGGAGGAGGAGGAGGGAGGAGGAGGGAGGAGGGGAGGAGGAGGAGGAGGAGGAGGAGGAGGAGGAGGAGGAGGAGGAGGAGGAGAGGAGGGGGAGGAGGAGGAGGAGGAGGAGGAGGAGGAGGGAGGAGGAGGAGGGAGGAGGAGGGAGGAGGAGGAGGAGTGGAGGAGGAGGAGGAGGAGGAGGAGGAGGAGGAGGGAGGAGGAGGAGGAGGAGGAGGAGGAGGAGGACATTGTCCCACACTGAAAACGACACGCAGTCCGCCTCTGCAGCGGCGGCGACTGCCGGGCCTCCGCACGAGCGTGGGCCGGCGAGGACACCTCGGGGGGGAGGCCCGGCTCGCCCCGCCGCCACCTCTGGGGTCGAGTCGGGCCCCGCCGCCACCTCTGGGGTCCTAATCCTCAAGCTCTCCCCATCCACGTGCTTCTCGCCCCCCTCCCTCTTCGTCTCCATCCCTTTCCACTGCAGTAGATACCTCTGCCTTGTCGCACCCCTAGGGTCGAGTCGGGCCTGTCCCCCCTACAGTCGGGAGACGTAAGACCCGGGTACGGGGGACGCAGAAATCCCCGACGAGGTCGTCAAAAAAATGGCGAGGCCGAGCCTGCATCTTGACGAGGCCTCCCGCTGCAGACATCCCACAAGACTCCTCCTCGTCAAAATCCGAGTCGCGGTCGTCAAAAAACGATGGCGAACCCGAGTCCCGGCAAACCCGGGTCTTACGCTCCCCCGATACAGGGGGATCCTCGACGAAACACCAGCAATACCCAGAACATGCTCCAAAAATGCCCAAGCAATGGTCACAAAACGGTCCCCTGACCATTTTTCAAACCATTTCTGAATGTTCCCCTCTGCAGAGGGACATTCAGAAATAGTTTAAAAAATAGTCAGGGGACCATTTTGTGACTATTGTTGAGCATTTTCGGAGCATGTTCTGGGTATTGCTGGTGTTTCGTCGAGGATCCCCCTGTAGTGGGGACAGGCCCGACTTAACTCTAGGGGTGCGACAAGGCAGAGGTATCTACTACAGTGGAAAGGGATGGAGACGAAGAGGGAGGGGGGCGAGAAGCACGTGGATGGGGAGAGCTTGAGGATTAGGACGATTTTCTTGGACCCTACAGGCCACTTCACCTCTGATGCTCCTCGGCCCCCTCCGAAGGAGAAGAAGGGCCTGGCTCCTCGACGGCGACGCCGAGGAGAAAAGGAGTGAGCGTGGCGTTGCACTCGAGAACAAGCGTCGCGTGTGGCCCAAACCTCAGGGGTGACAACCCAGGAGGCCGGGACCAGACGGGACCAGGAACCCCGACCCTACGCAGGCAGCCCGGGGACACCTGAGGGCCCATGCAGGTGCGCACGGGCCACAACAAAAGCTTGACGCTACCCGTCAGGGCGGTGCCATGTGCAACCAACTGGCCGCGGCTCGAGTGGCCAGACCAGCCCGGCAGGCGCAACCTCCAGAGGGGGAGGCACGCAAGCGAAGGAAATGATGATGGGGCGCAACCTGCCTATCGTCCTCCTCGCTACAAGCTGAGCAATCGCTCGCACGGCCAGGAAGACGATCCAGCAGGTTGCACAAAACTACAGTATGCGTGGATGAAACACCACGGGTAACGCGGGCCCATGTACCAGAAGGGGCACGTATTGGTGATCTTCTGTCCCGGGTCAATCCAGACCCAGGTCAGTCAGGCCTTGCAGAATTTTGCCAGATCCTGCATGCACCCAAACCCCGGTCAATGCGAAGGATCCTGCAAGATCCTGCAGGATCCTGCACCCAAACCCGGGTCAATGCGACCCTGTCCCTGCAGGATCCTGCAAGATCTGGCGCTCTGGCTGACCCTCGTTTGCATTGACCGTCTCAAGGCTCCTGAACGCAGGGGACAGATCAGCAGCCGGGGCAAGGCCTCGGGAGCAACCTCCAGGCGTGCCTCGTGCAGTGCTGCACATGTCAGCAGAGAGAGAGTGCACGCTGGTCCGAGTCGCCAGACAGCTCGGTGCTGGCTGGCAGCGAGCGGGAAGGACGGGGCCACCAGCGGTGCCTCGTCGTCCTCCCTTCTGATTCTATCCACCACACCCAGCTCCTGTGACAACGAACGACCCTTTTCCTCCGCTGTCAAGTTGTGGGATAGCCTGGGCCCCCACTTGTCTGGCGAGGGCGCATGACAATGCCCAGGCGTATTCAACTTCCGAGACTGGACGTTCTTTCCAAGGGCCGCGCTCAACAATGATGTGGCTAAGCTCGGTGACGTGGCCAAGCTCAGGGTGCGCTCCTTGACAGACCTGGGGCCAAGTATACTTGGCCCCCGAGCTCTGTGGACGCTGGCCACAGTTAGTATGCAAATTCCTAGCCCGATCATGACAACAGTGCACTTTACATCGAAAGCAGACCACCAGCGTGGACGAATCAGAGCAAGATCGGGCATGGCACTTGTGCTGGCGAGCCGACGAGAGGTCCGCGGCGAGCTTGGAGCTGCCCGAACACTTGCCCGGGGCCGGTGGGGACCCGGTGCCAAGGGGGCCTACGTTCAGGATTTGCTCAGGGGGCTGTCCGTCCCTCGGAACAGCCGGGCAAGTTTACGTTTCAAAAACAAGCCAACCTGCAGCCGGTCATGTGGGTGCCCGTGCGCTGCGCCTGGGACCACTTCCCGCCCCCTGACAACCTCGGGGCCCAAGTCGAGCGAAGGCCAGAGAAGCAGATGGCGGGCAGCTGAAACCCCCGTGGCTCCAGCCACGGCATGCTGTCTGTCGAGGCGCCCGAGCTCTTCCGAGGGCGCCGAGGGGTGCGACGGCGCAGCGTCGACACAGTTAGTGCCTAAGCGCAAGAAAAGGTCACGGTCGTCCACGGCTTCCTCTACCTTTGGATGCGCCTTCACTTTGTCGGCACGACAGTGAGGGGAAGGCGAATGAGCTGAGCGCGGCAGATTACAGGCGCTCGTGGCTGCTTTGTTGGGCCCAGGGCGAACTCGCATAATCAACTGCGTTTTGGCATTCCGAGTGCACAGTGGAGACCTGGGCAATAGACCTAGCAGGCGGCGTAAGAGGCACGGGATGCAGCACTCTGGGCGGCCCTGCGGGTATGGAGGCCGCACTGGGCCTCGGATCCGAATCATTCCCTTGTTCGGGGACGGGTCGAGCAACGAGACCGCCCAACCGCCGAGCGTAAGCTCCGAAACTCGGTGACGCAGGCTCGAACCGTCAACGGATGTCTCACCCCCGATGTCCCAGTCGCAACTGACTTCCTCGAATCCTTCGCGGAACTCCGCAACCACCCCTTCTTCAAAGAGGGGCCAGGGGAAACTGCCCAGCCGGGTGCTGAAAGATGCCGTGCAGAGGAGGAGGAGGAGGAGGAGGAGGAGGAGGAGGAGGAGGAGGATGAGGAGGAGGAGGAGGAGGGGGGGGGGGGAGGTAGGAGTGAGGAGGAGGAGGAGGAGGAGGAGGAGGAGGAGGTGGAGGAGGAGGAGAGGAGGAGGAGGAGGAGGAGGAGGAGGAGGAGGAGGAGGAGGAGGAGGAGGAGGGAGGTGGAGAGGAGGAGGGGAGGAGGAGGAGGTCGGCTGCCCATGCCCGAACCTGAGCTGGAACCGACTCCCTCCCTGCACGGGCGGAGCTGGCCCGGCACTGCCGTCGTCTGTGGCGGGCGCCG